GCTCCAAGAGGGTCCCAAAACGGCTCCAACAGGGGTGCCCGACGGAGCTGAAGCCCCCACTTGAGCAGCGACGTTGCATCATTTTCCTTGTGATTTTACAAGGTTTCCGCGTCCGGAGCCCTCGAGGGCGCAGCCTACGCGGAATGAGTTCCAATCACGGGTCCCACCTGGCCCCAGGACAACCTCACAGGGTCCCAAGAGGGTCCCAAAACGGCTCCAGCAGGGGTGCCCGACGGAGCTGAAGCCCTCACTTGAGCAGCGAATTTGCATTATTTTCTTGTGTTTTCACAGGGTTCCGCGTCCGGAGTCCTCCAGGGCGCAGCCTACGGAACCATCTGCAGAACAGCCCTGGGCCTCTGCTGGATGCTGCCCTCCTCCTCTTCCCCCTCCTCCTCGCCTGCATCGCGCTCCTCCTCCTCGTCGTCCTCCTCGCGCCCCCCTCGCCCCGATGCCGATCGCGTTCCGGAGGAGATTGCCGGAACGCGGTCGGCAAGGGCGCCGTCCAAAGCACCGTGTTCCCGGAGGGGGGCAGGAGGAGGAGGAGGTGGAGGAGGCCGGGGGCCCCAGGACAGGTGCCCCGACCCTCCATGGGGGGACCGGGGCTCGTTTTCCTTTGTTTTTACCGGGTTTCCGCGTCCTGGGCCTTCGGAGGCCGCCGCCTCCGACCTCCCATGGGAGGACGGGGCGGCCAGGGAGGTCCAAAATAGTCCAGGAGGGCCTCCAGAGGCCCCCTAAGACGGCCCAAGCGGGCCCCGAGTCGCCGAAAGACCGCTCCAGGACGCCCAAGATAGGCCCAAGACGGCCCGAGAGGCCCCCCAAGGCACTCCACGACGCGTCAAGACGCCTCTGCAGAGCGCTTCCAGAGGCCGAAATCGTCAATTGTACGAAGGTTTTCGAACCATTTTGGCCTTCCAGCCTTTTCGGCTGTCCGACGTTCCAAGACGGCTCAATAAGCTCCCAAGAGTGCCCCAAGACGGCCCAAGAGGGCTCCAAGACGGCCCCAGAGTCGCCCAAGACAGCCCAACAGAGCCCCAAGACGGCCCCAAGATGCGCCCAAGAGGGGGACCACGACTCCAAAATTCGACCCTCCCGCTTGAAGAGTGCCCAAGGAGCCCCCAAGGAGCCCCCAAGAGGCCCCAGGAGGCCCCCAAGAGGCACCCAGGAGGCCCGAACGAGGCCTAAAGAGGCCACAAGACAGCCCCGAGGAGGCCCCGCAACGGTCCCAAAACGGCTACCGAGAAACTGCGAAATTGCCTTCACGACGTCCCCGACAGGCCAACCACGAGATCCAAACCAACACCCATGAAGCCTCTGACCCACCAACCAGGGCACGGTGGCGGGAGCAGTGACAGCACTTGTGCACAGCATGTTCCGGCGGGAGCCTTCCGGAACACGCTGCAGGAGGAGGAGGTGGAGGAATAGCAGGAGGAGAGAGAGTTGGAGTGGGAGGAGGAGGATGGGGACGAGGAGGAGGAAGAGGCCTCCCAGACAGCTCCAAGATAGCCGAAGAGGCTTCCAAGAGGGCCCTGGGCGGCCCACGAGGGTCCCAAGGCGGTGCCTGAGGCGCCGAAGACGTCCCGAGAGGGCCCCAAGACGGCCCCAAGAGAGGCCCAAGAAGGGAAACACGAACCTCCGTAGCCATTTTGGCTCAAGCCAGTGGCCGAAGCACGCGCAACCGTGCTGAGTGACTATATATCGCCTTGAGTTTGAAACGCGTAGGGTGCCTCCCAAGATATCAATGGGCCCTGGGCGCCAAGGCAATCCGTATGAGTTGCATTGCAGCTTGTACGGGGTGTTTACCGCATTGCTTCTGGCGGTGATGACATGTGAGGCGCGCTGTCATGAGAGGCAGGGTTGTGCAAACAATCCTGCAAATTGGACCGATCGTAGAGGGCTTCCTTGCGACGAATACGAGGACTTGTGCACGACATCTGCTGATCAGGTCCTGAATCGCCATGTCGTCATCGGCTATCCTTCGGATGTAGGGAGCATGGGCCATTCGGCTGTGGAAGCTTGCTGTATTTGCGGTGGTGGACGTGAAATGCACGTTGCAACTTCCATGATAAGCAACACCACCCCGGCAATCGCTTCCATAACTAGCATCGCTACCAAATCTGTGAAGGGCAGGAGGCTTCTTGCCAGCACCACCGTGACGAGTACTACCACTATGACCAGCACCACTACCCTGACTGCAACCAGCACCACTACCCTGACCAACCAGCACCACTACCCTGACCACTGCCACCATGACATAGCACCACTACCCTGACAAGCATCACTGCAACCAGCACCACTACCCTGACCACTGCCACCATGACTAGCACCACTACCCTGACAAGCATCACTGCAACCAGCACCACTACCCTGCACTCATGCTTGACCACAGCACCACTGCTGACCACTGCGCACCACTACCCTGACAAGCATCACTGCAACCAGCACCACTACCCTGACCACTGCCACCATGACTAGCACCACTACCCTGACAAGCATCACTGCAACCAGCACCACTACCCTGACCACTGCCACCATGACTAGCACCACTACCCTGACAAGCATCACTGCAACCAGCACCACTACCCTGACCACTGCCACCATGACCAGCACCACTACACTGACAAGCATCACTGCAACCAGCACCACTACCCTGACCACTGCCACCATGACCAGCACCTCCACCTTGACCACTGCTACCATGACCAGCACCACTACCCTGACGAGCTTAACTGCGACCAGCACCACTACCCTGACCACTGCCACCATGACTAGCACCACTACCCTGACAAGCATCACTGCAACCAGCACCACTACCCTGACCACTGCCACCATGACTAGCACCACTACCCTGACAAGCATCACTGCAACCAGCACCACTACCCTGACCACTGCTACCATGACCAGCACCTCCACCTTGACCAGTGCTACCATGACCAGCACCACTACCCTGACGAGCTTAACTGCGACCAGCACCACTACCCTGACCACTGCCACCATGACTAGCACCACTACCCTGACAAGCATCACTGCAACCAGCACCACTACCCTGTCCACTGCCACGATGACTAGCACCACTACCCTGACAAGCATCACTGCAACCAGCACCACTACCCTGACCACTGCCACCATGACCAGCACCACTACCCTGACAAGCATCACTGCAACCAGCACCACTACCCTGACCACTGCCACCATGACCAGCACCTCCACCTTGACCACTGCTACCATGACCAGCACCACTACCCTGACTACCACTGCTACCAGCACCACTACCCTGACTACCCTGACTACCACTGCTACCATGACCAGCACCACTACCCTGACTACTGACCAGCACCACTACCCAATATCTGCTACCACTGCTACCATAACTACCACGCTCACCAGCAGCACCACCGTGTCCACTGCCACGATGACCAGCACCACCCTGACACGTGCCACCATGACCAGCATCACCACCACTTTGACCACTGACACACTGACCAGCGGCACTACTACTACAGTGTACACCACTACCTTCACCTCCAGGACCAGCATTACTAGCTCGACCACTGCCACCATGACTAGCACCACTACCCTGACCACTGCCACCATGACCAGCACCTCCACCTTGACCACTGCTACCAGCGCGACTAGCAGTACCACCATTTCCACTCACACTGGGACCAGTACCTCCCAGAGTACTGGTACCGCCACCAGCTTGAGTGCCACCAGTACCAGTGTAACCAGCACCACTGCGACCAGCACCACTGCGACCAGCACTAGTACCACTCATACATCTACCACCACACCCCTTTACGTTGTCTCCAGTGCCATCTCATTTCAAAGCAATGGGACGGTTGACAATATTACAAGTGCGTTAACATCTCATTTAGCGAGTGTTTTCCAAGTTGATGAAGATAATGTCATTGTGATTGTCACCGCTTCTGCGAGCCTGGCCCGGTATGTCGTTGATGGTTCTGGCCCGCAGTATAACGTCGATTGGGAGATCATCTCGCCTGAAGCTCCTGCGGCGAACATATACGATTTTGCAAGCCAGGTTGTTAATGATAGCGTTGTTGCTTATGATTTCGGATCAGGGATTCAATCAGTCTTCCTTTCGCAAGGCTTCGCGATAGTGGGATCTGAGATCGAAGTCACACCACCAGAAATTAAGGTGATTACTGCAACCAGGACAACTGTCAGCATGACTGAGACCAGCACAACACGGAGCAGCACCATGTCCACTGGCACTGCAACCAGCACCACCACCTTGACTACCACGCTGACCAGCAGCACCACCGTGTCCACTGCCACGATGACCAGCACCACCCTGACAAGTGCCACCATGACCAGCATCACCACCACTTTGACCACTGACACACTGACCAGCGGCACTACTACTACAGTGTACACCACTACCTTCACCTCCAGGACCAGCATTACTAGCTCGACCACTGCCACCACGACCAGCATCACCACCTTGACCACTGCCACCACGACCAGCAGCACCACCTTGACCACTGCCACCACGACCACCTTGACCACTGCTACCGCGACCAGCAGCAGCACCTTGACAACTGCCACAATCACCAGCACCAGCACCATGTCCACTCATACTGCTACCAGCACCACTACCTTGACCACCACGTTGACCAGCACCAGCACCTTGACAACTGCAACAATCACCAGCACCAGCACGATGTCCACTCATACTGCTACCAGCACCACTACCTTGACCACCACGTTGACCAGCACCAGTACTGTGTCCATGGGCACCGCTACCAGCACTACGTTGTCCAGCACCATAACGATATTGACCACTGCCACCATGACCAGCACCACGACCCTACTCACTGTCACAATGACCACCACCCCCACCGACACCACTATCACCACCACTACCCCTCTCGGTGCAACTACCACTATCACCGTCACGACACAGACAAGCACCACTACGCGGATATACATTGTCGCGGGATCTATGTGGTTCGAAAGCACGGGCACTCAAGAGCAGGTGGAAAGTGCGTCAGTGAATGCACTTGCTTCACATAAGGGCGTGCCCGAAAGTGCTGTGTTCTGTGTTGCCTCGCTTTTCACAGACAGCTCGCGACGGCTCATGTCGGACCGGGAGCTCACCAGCTCAGTCACGCATTGGCAGGTCGATTGGACGATAGTTGCAAGTGCATCTCCCGCCTTTTCGGCATACGACGTAACGACAGAGCTGCATCAGCATGTAAACGCGACCTCAGGAGAGAACTTGGAGTCGATTGAGACGTTTTATAGCCTCATGGAGCTCGCCATGTCATCTCGGGGCCTGGCACTCGTGTCAAATTCCAGTGTCCTCGTGCACGCAGAGCCCACGATAATGGAAATCACCGCCACCCAGACGATTCTATAGGCTTACGCCACATCCGCCGACCCCTCATCTTGGCGGTCTTGCTGGCTCGCTTGAATCGGGCTGGGGAGTCGTGTAGGGGTCCATAATGACCTCTCTTGGGGCCATGTGGAATCCGCTTGGGGTCATCTCGAGGCCCTGGGGGGCAAATCGGAAAAGAAAGAACGCTAATGCAATCTTGGCATCGTTCTGGAGGTGCCCAAAGGGTGGAAGCGTTGGAGTGGGGCCCGTATATTTCTTGCTGGGTTTGACTTCTTTGGTGAGGCGGGGTTGTTTTTTGGGGCATCCCTGAGCCCGCACGGGGAACCTCGGGGCTGTGGAGGGGACGAGTCTCACACGCTTGGGAACCGAGAAGGCGTTCGCGGTTTGTTTCGCATTGCTAGGTCCAGGCACGTTACGAGCCCGAGGCCATCGCCACCATCATCATCATTACCGTCACCATCATCATCATCATCATCATCATCATCATCATCATCATCATCATTATCATCACTACCATCATCATCATGCTAAGCATCATCATCATCGGTATCATCCTCGTCATAAGCATTGTCGTCGTTGTCGCCATCACTGTCTCAAGGGATTATATGTTGTACCTGACTGCGGGCCTCCGCGGTGGCATGTACATGCCACCATGGCAGCGCCATGGTGGCATGTACTGCGCGAAGTGCAGCGGTATCAAAGCCAAGCAGAACTCGCGGAAAGACAGCGCGAAGTGGAACCAGAGCGTCGGAACAGTGCGATGTACGAACGGTAAGTGACTGTCGCTACATGACGAAAAGGCGGATATGTCGGAAGCTCAGAAGAAGCACAATGCTGCGGGGGAAAGGCCCTGTCGGAAATGCGCGGAAGAGGTGCGACGGGGGAATGCGGAGGCAGCGAATCGCAAGCGGAAAGCCGAGGCAGACGCGAAGCCACTGACGTGTGCGGCGTGCGGAGAAGCGTTCTCGGACACGGAACATTTGAAGCATAAGCAAGTGGAAGATCATCGAGCGGCGAAAGGAGCGAAAGTGGTGTGCGGAGGCTGCAAGAACCTCGGGTTCACAGCCCGCAGTTGCCAGGCGTATCAGTGCGGCGGCGCGTGCAAGAGAAGACTACCGAAGTCGGCGTTATCCGGGGGCCCCTCCAACGTCGCACGCGATGCAAAAAAAAGGCACCCTGATATGCAAGACCTGCAAATGATGCCCAATCGGGGGCGCGCGTGCGGGGGAGGACAGGGGGGGAGGGGGAGAGAGGGATGGGGGGTGAGGCGGAGGATGGGGGGGGAAGAATCGGGGAGGAAGAGGATGAGGCAGGGGAGGAAGAGGAGGAGTGGGCGAGGAGGAGGTGGAAGAGGAGGAGGAGAGGAGGGGGAGGACGGGGACACAGAGACGAAACTCTGGGATATGTGCTATGGGTTAGAGGCTTTTTGTATGTGTATAGGGATCTCGCGGCACGCTTCTCGGGGACCTCTGGAAAGCAGTTCTGAACCCACCTGGCGGCCGAGGTGGAGGAGGAGGAGGAGGAGGAGGAGGAGGAGGAGGAAAAGGAGGAAGGGGACACAGAAACAAGGCTCTGGGTTATGGGTTTTGGGCCAGAGGCGTCTTGCATCAGCTTGGGACCAATTTGGAGGCAGGTTTTGCCGTCTTGGGGTCGTCTTAGGCCGAATTGGGAGGCGTCCACGGCCGTGTTCGGATTCTCTGGGGCCGTCTTGAGGCCCTCTTGGGGCGTTGTGGGGCGATCTTGGAGGCTCTTGGGGCTACGCGAGCCGACGGAAGCCGGGAAAGGCAACAAGTGCAAACATGTTCAACAACGCAATGGAGATGTAATGAAATGCGTAATGTGCGCCTCTTTCAGATGTCTTGGGGGTCTTCTTGGAGACTTCGTGGGCGATAGTGAAAGCCTTGTAGGCCATCTTGAGGCCATTTTGGGCCGTCTTCGAACTGTCTTGGGCCGTCTTGGAGCCATCTTGGGCCGTTTTGGAGCCATCATGGGCCGTTTTGGAGCAATTTTGGCTTCGAGAACGCGAATCCTTTTGTGTGCGCAAACGCAACCCCGCCACCGTGCCTGGGTTGTTGATGTGAGACTTGTGCGGTGATCGTTGGGATCTCTTGGGAGGCTTCTCGCGGGACTCTTGGAGGCAGTTTCGAAGCCTCTTGGGGGCCGTTGTGAGGCCGTTTTGGAGCCTCTTGGGGGCCTCTTGGGGCCTCTTGTCGGCGTCTTGGGGGCCTCTTGGGGCCTCTTGGGGCCTTCTGGGGCCGTCTTTGGGCGGAAGGCTCGGATTGTCGGTTCGGGCTCCCCCTCTTGGGCACCTCTTGGGGCCGTCTTGGGGCCCTCTTGGGCTGTCTTGGGGGCCTCTTGGGCCGTCTTGGCGCCCTCTTGGGCCGACTTGGGCGCCTCTTGGGGGCCTCTCGGGGCGGTCTTGGGGTGCTGTGGGACCGTCGTCAACGCCGTGAAGGCCGACAAGTAGTATATGATCAAAATGTACATTTTCCCATAGGAATTTGACGATTTTCGGCGCTTCGGCCCTTTTGAGGACTGCTCTTGGAGGCCTCTTGGGCCGTCTTGGAGGCCTCTAGGCTCGTCTTGGGGGCATCTTGGGCGTCTGGGAGCGCTCGTTTGGCGCCTCGGAGCTCTCGTGAGCCGTCTTGGAGGAGTCTTGGGGCCTTCTTGGCCCGTCTTGATCCCCTTTTGGGCCCAAAAGAGCCCCGTGGTGCGCTCGTCTGCGGCCCGGGGGGGGGGGGGGTCAAATCTCCGGTTTGGGGTCCCAGGGGGGGGGTTAGGGGGGGGGAACTATCTCACACGCCTAGAGACCCACAAGGGGTCGGCGGACATCAACGACGGCAACGCCATTCGCAGTGGGCCTCCTTGCCGACACGGAGAACACGGCGAGCATTGATTTTGTCATTATGGGCATCATAGTTGGCGCGATACTTGTTTTGTTCTGTTGCATTCAATTGTTATGTCGCTGGCGACGGAAGTCTGAAGAGGACTTGGAGGCTGTGTCGCAAAATGACCTCGAGCAGGGGACGCCCGAGGACATACGATGGGACGCGCCTGGAGCGTCCCCAAGGATCGAGTCGCAGAGCGGCGGACCCAAGCAGGCGCGCAGCCTGTCACGCGGTGAATCGGCCGGAGCGTCCTCGAGGAGCGAGATCGGAGCATCGCCACGGACGCCACGGAGCAGCATTTCGTCAACAGGTATGCGATCGAGTAGGTCAGGCGGAACTTTGTCACGCAGTCCGTCGGCTGCCTCAGCCAGGTCTGGTGACGCCGGGCTGGCTCGCAGCTGGTCTCGCGGTCAGGCCTCAGGGCTTTCGATTTAGTCCCGGGAAGGTTAGCTTGACGATAGCAAAGGCTACATGAAACAACCGTTCCAGATACCCCACCAGATAAGACACATTTTTGCATCCACTATCGCGCAGACGCGGTGACGGGCATGTGCTTCGTGGCGACAGCGAGACCCCCTATCGCAGCACGCAGCACTGCATTTTAATCGGTATCAGATACGCGAGGGGATCAGACATAGCAGCTGAATGCTACAGTTGTCTCCCGATGTATTAACCATTCGGCTGAATATTCTTCGCTTTTCATGTGTTGTAACTTCCATGATGGGTGCGACATTTGAGCAGTGTGGGTAGATCTATCGCTTTGTGGGTGCGGAACCGGCTTGCCTTCAGTAGCCCAATTCCCGGCTCGCAGCGGCAACAGGGATGGCGGAGGATCCCAGCAGGGATTGAAATGGGGCCCTTTTCGTTTCCGACCACCGCTCCAGTGGCCAGATTGTCTCACATCTGCTCGAGCCGAGCCGGCAGCAGTAGGCGAGCGAGGTGAAAGGGAGAGAGACAGGGTGGGAGAGAGAGAACGCCAGGGAAGCATATTTATATTTATAAATGCAGATACACATGTGTATACAGCTTTTATTCGTGGTGGGCCACCTAGGTCCAGCATCGGTAAGTGGCACGCATGTTGCGCGCCCGTGGAACGCAAAGTGCGTTTTCACTGCTTATACATATAACGGCGCACCGGGTCCAGGGGCCCAGGGCCGGGACCCCGACCACAAATGTGGGCTCCGGGGGGCCCGGAGGCTCGTCGGGGCTTGCCGGAGGCCTCCCCGGTCAGACAAGACGGCCCCAGAAGCGCCCAAGACGGCCCAAGAAACTTCCAAGAGGCCTCCA